GGCTGTCGGAACGGATTAATTTCATAAGTAGAGGTACCACTGTACTATTTAGTATCTAAAAGTTAACCAATAAGCTTACATAATTGTTTCAATACCAGGAAAGGGGTAGTTTTCTGTTCAACATGTTTAAAGTCAACTGACACTTCAAGGTTTTCAAAGAAATAACCATATTAATATGTTGCAGCATAAAAAGGAATAAGAGAACAGGAGAAAAACAGAATCTAGCAACACTTTTAGGACTAACTGGTTTATATTTTAGCGCAAACTTTCATGGATATCAGTGCACTTTCTCAGATGTAATGACAGTGATATTAAAGCCTCTGATTATTAAGCATATTCACACAGCTGTGAGAGTGAGACAGAATGTACAGCAGGGTGACCAAATGCAACTCCTCTGGACAATTTGAGCGAACCACATAAATATACTGGCAATGTTTAGTAAGCCAGAAATCTATAGAACTTGGTACCCAGTATATTCACACTTATTTGGCTCCTCCTGTAAATGCATCTAATTAAACAAACCAGAAACTGTAACTCAGAAACAAGACCTAGTTTATAATCTTGTTTTATCAAGGGAGCAACAAACTGAATAAAGGTTTGGATGACACACTAGAGGGATAAGCCAAGGAGATGTGAAAGGTCTCTAAGGCTGCAGCCACATCCGCATTGCAGAAATAATCCAGTTTGTCACCACTTTGCCATGGCTCAATGCTATGGAATTCTGGGGATTGTAGTTTTGTGGGACATTTAGCCTTCTCTGCCAGAGAGCTCTGGTACCACAACAAACTACAGTTTCCAGAATTCTGAAGCATGGAGTCATGGCAGTTAAAAGTGGTGTCAAGTTGCATTATTTCTGCAGTGCGGATACAGCCTACATATTGCAAGCCCAGTTTCTTCAAAATTGTGAACCAAAAAAGTCCTTAGTTCACAAAGCTAGTTTTATGAATGAATTATTTTAGTTTGCATGATGCAATGAGAGATTTTTACTGCTGTTGTTCTGATTTGATTATTTTAATATAATCTGTTTTACTGTTTAGTATCCTAATTATTATTTCATTAGTTAGTGTTTTTATTACTTCAAATGTAACAGAAAAGGCAAAATGGATCCAAACATCTTATTAAAATACTATAGTTTACATAATGTACCTGTTGCTTGAAGTACCGTCTGTCCTCTTCATCAACTAACACTAGATTCAAGAAGTATCTTACTGAGAACTTTTTATTTACATCCCTCATTGTAGGAGTAGGATCATAGCCAGCCAAAAAGAGCCTTATGGGAATAGATTCACCTTAAACAACAGAAGACATGATTAGTTTTGTTGGCATATATTATTTTATATTGACAGAAAGGTGGGATATAGATCAAATAAGTAATATTATCAATATTTACTTATTTGATCTATATCCCACCTTTCTGTCAATATAAAATAATAAAGCACAACTAAATGCATAGTGCAAATCATTAAAAACCATTAAATAGGCAATCCTATTGAGGTTAATTTTAAAACATTACAGCACACCCAATTTAAAATACCCTTCTGAAGCAACAAATCAAAAATCAAAGGCCTAAATAACATCTCTGAATAAAAATGTATTTGCCTACTGTCAAATAAAAAAAAGCAGAGGAGAGGGCCAAATCAGCCTCTGTGAGAGGGAATTTCATAGCTTAGGGCAGCTATCAAGAAGGTTTTCTGCCATTTCCTCACCATCTGTTTTATCTTATGTGGTTTTATCTATTACTCTTAATGGATATGTAGTTTAATACTTTTTTAAAGGCAGGAAGGGGTTGGGGGATGTTTATTCTGGATTCTGTATGGAATTTTAATTGTTATAAGCCATCCAGATTGTTTGACAGAGGGGCGGGGTATAAATAAATTGTATTATTATTACTATTAAATGAAAAGTGAGGGTGATGTTAAGACTTGAGAAGGCTCTACAGATAGGTATGGTCTTTGGGATAGTGGAGAACCAAGCCCTATAAGGATTTATAAATTTATAAGTTGTAAGCAATTATTTAAATGCTGCCCAGGAAGGGGAACAACAACCAGTAAAGCTGTTTCAAAAGGTGGGTTATATGTTCTCTATAACTAGTCCCACTCAGCAGGACCTGCTCAAATTTCCCATTTGCAAAGGCAGTGTCAGGTAGAGTGCATTCCAGTAATTCAAATGGGTTGTAATCAAGACAAGTGTTAACATGAACAAATCTGACATCTCCAGGATGAATGCAGCTCATATGTCTCTTTAATTGTGCCAATGCAGAATTTCCAACTTATGGCTATCCTAAAGTGAACCTATCATAACTTTAATAATAATAACTTTATTCTTGTATTCCACCTTTCTGCCATGAAAATCAAGGTGGCTTACATGGAGAAAAATAAATTTAAATAAAACATATCATACAATAAAACAATGATGATGATGATGATGATAATAATAATTAAACCCCCTTTAAAGGAATTAAATACAATACTAAAATAAGAACAAAGTATTAAAATAGCAATTGTTCTGGGACAACAGCGGATGTATAAAGTGGAGAGAGCACAGAGTCAGTTGGATTGATCTATTCAGGGAAGGCCTGCTGGAGGAAATCCGTCTTGACAGCTTTTTTTAAGCTGTCTAAGATGGTTATTTGACGGATCTCTTCCGGCAAGGCGTTCCATAATCTGGGAGTGGCAGCAGAAAATGTCCTCTGGGAGGTTACCGTTAATCTGGTTTTTATCAGTTGCAGTAAATTCCTCCCAGAGGACCTGAGGGTGCGGGGCAGATTGTATGGAAGGAGCCAATCCCTTAGATAGGTTGGATCCAGGCCATGTAGGGCTTTAAAGGTAATCACCAACACCTTATGCTGTGCTCAGAACCCAATAGGCAGCCAGTGAAGAGATTTCAAAATAGGTGTAATATGATCACTCCTAGATTTACCAGTGATCAACCTGGCTGCCATATTTTGTACTAGTTGTAGTTTCCAAACTAAGTATAAGGGTAGCCCCTTGTAGTATGCATTGCAGAAATCAAGTTGTGAGGCTACCAGTGCATGCACTACAGTTTCTAGGTCCCTTGTTTCCAGGAAAGGGCACAGCTGGCGTATCAGCCAAAGCCAATAACAGGCGCTCCTGACTGTCGCATTCATCTGATCTATCATGTGAAACGACGGGTCTAGGAGCACCCCCAGACTGTGAACACAGTCCTTAGAGGAGAGTGTGACCCCATCCAGGACTGGAGATTGCAACCCAAAACCTGGTTTAGGGACCCCTCCATTTTGTCTGGATTCAGCTTGAGTCGGTTCTTCCTCATCCAGTCCATTACCGCCTCAAGACAATGATTGAGGGGAGAATTGCCATCTGCTGTCATGGCTGCTGATCAAGACATAGAGAAATATATTTGGCGTATTATCAGCGTACTGATAACACCCCACCCCATGTCTACAGATAATTTCCCCCAGCGGCTTCATGTAAATATTAAATAGCATCGGGGACAGGATGGCACTCTGAGGGACGCCACAATTAAGCTCTGTCTTTGAAGAGCAACTGTCCCCAAGCATCATCCTCTGGAATCTGCCTGAGAGGAAGGAACAGAACCACTGCAATGCAGTGCCTCCGATTCCTAGCTCTCCCAGGTGTTCCAAGAGGATGTTATGATCTATTGTATCAAAAGTCGCTGAGAGGTCCAGAAGCACCAATTAGGTCACACTTCCCCTGTTAATGCCTAGACGAAGGTTATCAGCCAGAGCAACCATGGCAGTCTCCACCCCATATCCTGTCCTGAAACCGGTTTGAAATGGATCTAGATAATCGGTTTCATCCAAGATGACTTGGAGTTGAAAGGCAACGGCCCACTTTCTCAAGAATGGCAGGTGTGATACCAGCCTATAGTTTTTCAGATCCAGCGGGTCCAGAGAAGGCTTCTTCAGGAGCAGTCTAATGACTGCTTCCTTTAAACATGCTGGAACAAGGCATGAGGTTTTCTTGGCAAGATTAGTTCAGAAGAGGTTTGCCACTGCTGTTCTCTGAGGCTGAGAGCATGTGACTTGCCCAAGATCACCCAGTGAGTTTCATGGCCAAGAGGGAATCAAACCCTGGTCTCCAGAGTCATAGTCCAATGCTCAAACAACTATGCTATGCTGGCTCCCTACCAACCTGCTATTTAATGGAGAATGTAACCCCATACAGTACAAGATGAATTTTGGGAAAGGGGTTGGCAGCACTTAAGGGAACTACTATTAAGCAAGTTGTACTGACACACAAGTTGGAAGTTGTATAATATACAGTAGCCCCTCCCAATTTGCGGGGATCCATTCCAGATCTCCCTCGCAAAAATGGCGACTCGCAAATATTGAGTCCCATTGAAAATAATGGTGTGCATGCCTGTAGTACGCATGCAGGGGCACGTGCAAAGGCACACTGCCATTTTGTCCCTCCCACGAAGAGTGAGACTGCAGACTTCAAGTCCACAAATGGGGAGGGACGACTGCACAAATGGTGCTCCTATCAAATTCTTCAGGGGTCTGCAAATTTCAAAAAGCAGTATGGTGGCATTTTAAGATAAGGGGAAGGAATTTCTCTTAGTAGCAATCCAGCAAAAGTAACACAAAAGGCCTACGCATTCCATTTACTTCCCTCAGAGAAGAAAAAGTTCCACAAGCTAAGTGGTGTTGCCGCCACCGCAAGCCAGACATCTGGACAATAAATTTCCACTCCATCACACTGTTGATCCACTACTACCACACAGTCACAAAGTTCTCCATTGGGGGTGGAGGGTATGAACCTACCACTTGGTTCCTACTTCCAATTTTGTTTGGTCAGCACTACACTGCACTAATTATTTCTTCCTCACTTTCTTGCCCCTTCTAAAGGCATCACAGCTTGAATTTCACTCACTCCTCTCCCTCATGTCCCTTCCTTTGACATCATGTAAGGGGATGTGACACATGCTATCCAGAAAGACTTGGAGCCAGCAAGAAGTGAACAAAAGCAGAAAAAGTGTTCTGTCTGTCTTAATAATTTCAGGTCCTCATGCAGATGCCAAGGCAGGTCTTGACAGGTACATTTGCACCTGCAGGCTCAGAAATGGGGATCTCACGCGAAAAGGAATTAACTTCTAATTAGTATCATCTTGTTCGTTGAAGAGCATGCTATTTAGTGCTTTAGGTCTTCTATCTGCATGAGTTTAGACTTTTAAAAAATCCTATTCTAGATTAAATAAGAACATTTGTTCTAAAAAAAAGGCCAATCTATATGTAATATAAAATTAGTCTAATGATTTTAATGTGCAGTGACTCACCTTTAACTGGTGCACCATCCATTATTTCATACTTTGCAATTGTCTCCGTCTCTGTTGTAGTACTGGGTCCTAGTTAAACAATTATCAGACTGTTTATCTGTATGTTTCTAAATTTATTTTATTTCCAACTTCCTATTTATAGTTGAACACAATTATCTGGGAGGCATTTCCCCTATACCCACAAATGATACTCTACATTTTTCAAAATGTCCCAAACCCATTATGTAGCATTTTCAGAGAAGAGAAAGGTGGGGGAGTATGTTTCTGCCAGCCCAGTCCTCTTATGTTTAAAGCTGGATTTAACCCAACACTTCTACCAAATTCTTTTTACAGGCTGTTATATTTTAGAACCTGTTACTACTTACAGTTAATAAAGCTACAGTTATGTGTCAGAGACAAACTAGAAAGCACAAACAATTCTATAATACATGCATTATAGAATGGGAGAAAGTCTATTAGAAAAAGCCAGAGCTAGACTGCATGACAATAAAATTATTCATCTTAATAACACCCTTCTTTTTTCTTACCAATTCCAGTGATCTCTTTTTTGATCAGTTGTAATTCCATATGCTGGATTTTTATTCTTACTAAAAGGAAGTAAATTTTTCCAACAATCACATCCTTTAAATGATACCTTAATACAAAGGAAGAGAGCATATAAAATGTTGAATTTGTACACTATATGTACACAAATTATATTTTTGTTTTTTTTAACAATATTTGCTACTGAAATGGGTTATTTGTTTAACTTATGAATAGTGCAATTATTGAAAAAGTTCAGCTACAAACAAGTTTTATTCCCTAATAAGGATCTCCAAATATTATGCAAAAAGATCAATCTGGAAGTGATCCTTTACATTTTTTACAAAATCACTCAATATGCAAGTACTCTTGCCTTCAGACATCAGGTGGTGGGTCTCTCTCTGCTTCTTACTCATCTGGTGCACAAGCCCATTTGCTAGAAGCTGACACAGATCTACCTACAGCAAGAGTAGGCAATTGCAATGGCTTCAGGAGCCACACTGACCTCCTCAGGGGATCCTGAAGGTCCACAGCACCCCCTGGCATAACAAAACAAAACAAAACCCCCAGAACCTAAACACCATTGGGAAGGGTTTTCACTATACTTTTGCCATCTCTGAGACATTTTAGGCCCAAGATGAGCCTTTCTTTTCAATTGGGAAATTAACATATGGGTAAGTTAGTTCATTGGTAAAAAGAAACCTTTGCATGGAGGGGACAAAAAAGTGATAAGACTTTAAAGCACAAACTAGAACATTCCATCTCATAGAAGGGATTTCAGGGTAAAAAAAGCCCAGAACCTTTTTTTAGAAAATTGACCTTTGAGAGCCAGAAAAATTAGCCTGGCCTGCCGATGCAGCTCATGGGGTACACTCCCCACTTCTAGTCGACTCCTGTATCTCACTTTTTTTGTCAGAAACCAACTTCCTCTCCTAAAGCAAGAATTTCTAGTTTGGGGAAACCTATTGAGGCCTTCTTAGGCATATTTTGCAATAGTGGTGAGACACAGCACAGTATCTCTTCCAATTATCTGAGCAGACAGGTAAAACCACAGGCATAGGTGGTTCTTTAAATATACTTTTCCTAATTTATTAACAGCTTTAGAAGCAATTACCAACACTTTAAAACTAAGATTAGAAATAGACAAGGAACCAAAGAATATGGTATAATCACTAAATCAATGAATCTTAATAGAATGGCCATGATCAAAACTTTAGCCACAGCTTTTTACACAAGCAGATACCAGAAAGCACCAAAAATTCTTCAAAGGTCACCCACACAGATTTCACTATGGTAATCTAACCCTGATGTAATAAAGTATGTGCAACTCTGACTAAGTCCTTCTTCTTAAAGCTTGGGGGCAGACCATTCTTTTCTTACCAAAGGTCATTACTTTGCCTTCAAGAGCAAAGCCAGCCCCAGATTATCCATGAACTGCAAACCTGTACAAATGTGCAGCAGATGGGGTAAGAGCAACCTGAGGTGACATAGAAGATTCTAATATTTCATTACGTATTAGGAAATAGAGACAAAACAGATGGGCTTGAAGGGGCGCCTTGACACTGCCCCTTTGAATGCTGGGTTAGGGCCCTGGAACCACATGCTGCAGCCCCAACCCAGGTATTTGCTGGCACAGAAAGAAGCGTTAGAGACAGCATAAAGCCAAGTTTTCTATCGCCGCCATGGCTTTGTGGTGTGGCATGTAAACACTGCACCGCTGGAGCACCGCAAAACTGCCACCATGTAAACGGCTGGGTGGCTTCATGGCTGCTTCCTGCCGGCTTGGGAATGTGTGTCATCTAAACAACATGCTTCTAAGCCGGCGGGAAGCCACCACAAAGGGGCCATCTGTTTTGCCCCAAAATCTCTGAATGCTCCTTGAATGAATATTCCTACAATTAAGAAACTAGAACACCGGGGAGAAAGATGCTAGCACAACCTAATTCTTGCTGAATTACTTTTAGTTGGTATTCTAATTAGGATTTTTTGTTTTTTACACATAGGAAACATTAAAAATCAGTCCTGCTGTGAATCTGACATCCATGTAAGTCATGCTTCAGCATGTGTAGACAATTGAGAAAATGGAAAAGCTACATGAGCAGTTGCTTCAAGACAAAAGGAATTACAACTTTGGGTGCAAACCCCACATATCCTGATGAATAATCCAAAAGCATTATTTTGCTTGATCATTGCTATGTGCTCTCTAGTTTTCATTAAAAAGACTAAAAAGATTGCTCTTTTCAAAGTCATGTGTTCATGTGTTTGGCTTATTCAGAGACATACATACTTGGATTTGTTGTATTCAAATTCTATGTGCAGACAATCTTCAATGCCTACTTCCATTTTAATAGAGTTGTTAACATCTGGGTATGTTGCAAGTTGGTGAACAATAAGATCATATTCTTTTACCAGATCTGACAATCTTCTTACTATTGTTACCTTAAGGAAATACCTGGAAAAGAATAACATTAATGGAGATACAAATAGGAGGTACACCTATTTTCACATATTTAGGACTAGGTCTTTGGCTTTCTTTATCAACTGAGATAATTCCAGAAGATTATATCAAGGTTAATAAAATGCATTAGCAGAACTCTTTTAATTAATCAGCTCATAATTCTAGTATTTGTGTTGCAAAAGACCCATAAAATTCATAGACACTAGTCATAATCTCCAAAGCAAGAAAGAAACCTATTCAAGCTTCTAATAATGTAACAATTTTAATCTGTAATATTTCTTTGCAAGGGCCTAAATATCCTAAAAGCACCAGATCCTGTCAGATCTTGGAAACTAAACCCGATCCGGCTTTTTGCTGCTCCTTTTGGGGGCAGTAAAAAGCCACCCTTAGCACCGCCGCCAAGGCTCTTTTGCATCCCTTTGGCACAGTGTGTCTAACCGCTGCGCCAACAGGGCACCTTGATACTGCGCACTGTGTGGTCAGGCGCATGGCGTGACAGCGTCGGGCAGCCGGCGTGCAGTTTCCCTGCCCCAACTCCACCCCCAGGCTGGCCCTTTAGGCTGGTCTGCATAGACCCTGGGTCAGCCCTGGTTAGTACTTGGATTGGAGCCCACCAATGAATAACAGGTGCTATAAGCTATATTTCTGAGAAAGGAACTGGCAAAGCTACTTTTGATTATTCCTTCCTTAAGAAAATTCTAGGAAATTCATGGGGACATGAAGGTACATACAAACACATATTTCTTTGAAAATCTAAGGAAAGGGTAGAATATATTTTGTGAATCAAACTCAAGATTCATACTTTGTGAAGCAACCTCAAGACCAATTTGTTTCTTGCTTTTATAACTATATATAGCCACATTCA